TCTCCTACATCCAAGAAGTTGGTAAGATGGATGTGGAAATTGCGACCGTGCTCCGAAAGAAACCCACAGTGCTGCCTAAAGAAGCTCCGAATGACATTAGCAAGATGAGGCTGGGAAAGATCGAGAAAGATAATTGGAGTGTGGCGTTCCAAAAAAGTTCAAGAGATGGTACAAACGTTCAGAGATGTTTATTCTGTTTACCAGGCAAGCATCTTTATTCCACATCCTGTCTAAACTACGTCTTGGAGATTACCGAGAAGAACAAAGCGAATGATGCTGCCGCCAAGAAATGCTTCGCAGACATGATTAAATGGTACATTCAGGTTTGCAACACCTTGCTTGGTCTAATGTCAAAACTTTTCAAGGTTCAGAAGCGTATTCAGCAGTGAAGAATCTTCCTTCCTTATTGACACAAAGGGGGAGATTGTTGGGTCATTTATGGTGTTGTGTCAATATTGATTATGCATGTATTTGGTCTTTATTGTTATCGGATTGGGCCTGTCCATCCGCATTTATGCAGCTAGGGTTAGACTATAAATATAACATGCATGTATCGTATTAGGGTTAATGTTTTTGTAGCCCTACGTATCTTTACAAAGAAGTTCTATCGAACTCTTCTAAGATATTGATAATTAAGCATTCGACACTCTTTCAATCACATTTAATCTTTGTTCTTATTGTTTGATTCATCTAAACTGTTTTGAATCTATCGATCTTAATTTTAGTGTTTCAACACTCAAACGAAGAAGGATCCGAGTAATTAAAAAATATTTTCATAAAAAGAATAAATACAAAAAGGAAAGAATGTGATGCATGCAGTCAACCAAAGCTTAGAAAGGAAAGTGATTCCCAAAATATCCATATTTGTTATGTTTGCTGATATATGAAATGTTAGAAATGCATGCTAGTATGAAGGTTGGGGATCTTTTCAGGAATTGTCGGTTAAAATTGCCTAATACTTAAGATGCCTTATGGTCCAAATATTTTCTTGTCATTTGTTGCTTAGAACCTATATTAATATTAATTAGTTATTCGAGAAGTACGTTAGGTTGCATGCTCCAATGATTAAATAGTTTTAGATTGCCTGATTTGGTGCTATTACGCAGCTCTCGTTTGAGTCTTACAGTCGTAGTGTCAGATCTTTCAGTCGACTGACTATTTGATTTTAGAGGCATGTAATCGTATTCGTATGATAATTGGTTAATATTAGTAGAAGTTCTTCCCCGACTAACAATAAAGAGAAGGGGAAAAGAATCCTAGAAGGATAGTCTAGGAAGTTTAAAATGTGCTTGATAGGACATATATTCACAAGATAAAGCATCAATAGAGACGTAAAATCCTAGTGAAGTCTAGGAAGGAAATAATTAGGTCCTCGAAACATTGTGTGTGAAAAGACCTATCAATAGCAGAATGTAGTAACTTAGAAACCTTGGAGCAATTCTTGGATCTAGTTTGGATAGGTGTGGAAGGTAGTATGGGTCCAAATGTCTTCCTTCACCACCAAGAACACCAAAAATATCACTCAAGAGCTTCAAAACTCACACACAAGAATTAGGGTTTCGAGATGGGGGCTAAGAGGGATGGAGGCTGGAGGTATGGAAGGGTTTAAGGCCATAAAGTCCTTTAAATATGGTCCAAAACCTAAAATTTAGGGTTTACCCTCTGCATGAGTACACCCAGCATACGCATGCGTACGCCCAACGTACGAGAGGAAACCCGCAATCATTTTTAATGACCTATGCCCGACGTACCTATCTCATACGCCTAGCGTAGGGACCAACTTTGCAAACTTTTTAATGAATCAAGCTAAATATGAAAAATACTTGGAACACTGGTGTTACATCATTTCAATACAAACTTGCCAAATCTACCAAAAAGATATTTTAGGCCACATGTGTTGGTCAAAATTGGTAATGGTATGTTTCAATTATAAAAGTAGATGATTGTAGCATGTTCCACATCTGCAAACTTGTGGACCAACAAACATGTTCTTCAAGACAATTGAACCCAAATCATCGCCAAATAAGCAAAAAAACATTCGAACATTTTGTTATAGATGTGTTAGGTAATGATCATGAAAGGGTTTACATTACAAACCATATCCAACAAGATATAACTTTGAGGTTCAACATCTATGTTTCATACAAACAAGCATGGAAAGCAAACAATACGTGTTTATAATTGAACCTAAACCATCGCCAAGTAAGCAAAAAAGCGTTGAGACGTTTTTGTTATAGACTTGTTGGGTAATGATCATGAAAAAGTTTACATTGGAAACCATATCCAACAAGATATAACTTTGAGGCTCAACATCCATGTTTCATACAAACAAGCATGGAAAGCAAACAGTACGTGTTTATTCCTATGAGGGGAACTCAAGCATACTTATTTCCCAAAATGCCATATATTATTACAACAAAAAAAAAGTGTAATACTGATTCAGTCACACACATTTAAATGGATGATGATGACCGCTTTGAGTTTTTGTTTCTCTCCATTGGTTGCATGGTAATAGTTATCATTTATGTGCTAACTTATTTTGATTAATTTTAATGTTTATACAACTATCATTTGTTTGTTAACTTATTGTTGTACCTACGAACATTTCAAAATATATATCGATGACCCTCGTTAAAGACGGGGGCCACCTTAAGGGTGAATTCAAAGGCACCGTGTTGTTAACGGTGACAATGGATAGAAACAACCAAACTCCGCATGTTGCAAAGAACACAAAGAAAAAAATCAGCTCAAACGGACAATTACAAAATCATTCTTATGTAGATGAACATGTCACAACAAAAAATGTCCGGTAGCCACAGAAAACAAGGCATTATAATAGTGGAGGACCTTGTTGCAGTTGAAGAAACACATGCATATATCGGAAGTGGAAGCATTGTAAAGAGGCAGATGAGGAACTCTAAGAGAATCATCAAACTAAGACCGATAAACAAAGTTGTTCTAATGGATGAGAGTGACACTAATATGGAAAAAAATAGCAGAAATGTAGTAACGAACTTGTTCAAACATTTGAGTGTTTATATATAGGTCTTTTGTATATGTAAATGGATAATCTTATATTTAGTATATGTAAATGGAAATTAAAATTAGATTAGATTAAGAAAATTAAATAAGGAAAATATTAAACTTGTCAACATTAAAACCCACTTACCAACAAGTAGGGCAAACCCTAAACCTTATGACATGATTATCCTTGGTCGACGATTTCCAAAGTCGAGACAGATAGACACAATCATAAAGTGTTTGCGTTGCTCGGAGAAGTGCGATTTTGAGTTCAACATATGTGAATTTGAGGAAGAAGACATCACAATATTCAAGAATTTGTTGTTCGTCTTCTGTCCAAAGTAAAAGGGTTCTTACCCTAATGGTAAAAGAAGATGAACAAATGACTAGATGTTCAACTCAACAAAACACGTATTATTTGTATTTGCCGCCCTCCATTGTTGAGGTCGAGGGTTCAAGTCTCACTGTGGACATAGATGAAATAATTTAGGAGTAGTTTAGTATATATTTGTATTTGTCGTTCCAATATATATATATATATATATATATATATATATATATATATATATATATATTAGATCTGCACTACCATGTGAATTTCGATTTCAATGATATTTTATAAACACTTAACAAATTTAATCTACCCTAATAAATAAAAATGATTTTGCCACATGTCAATTTCTAATACACTCTTGCCACATGTCATTATGTGACATATTTAAATTACTTAAATTCCACATGTCATTATGTGGTATTTTTATTTCTTTATTAACCCAAATTAATCAATTCCATTAATTAATACTTCTATTATTATATAGTAAAGTATTCATTGTATTAAATGTGTAATCATACTATAATATTAAAGTTTTTTTTTTTTCGTAATAAATTTCACAAATCAAACTAACTAATCAATTTTCTATGTAAATAATGTGGCTTAGTCCTTTTTGCCCTTTAAAGCCTTTCTCTTAATCCCGTATAATATATGGGTCACACAACTAGTAATATAATAAAAAAAATTGTTTGTTCTTTTTTATGGTAAGAAAAAAAAATATTACACTCCTAAATTATTTTCCATTTTATTTAAATTGTAAATTAATCAAATGGATAATCTTTTCATAGAATTCAATCAATTTACCAATTTTCCCTTTACTTCTCCCTTCTCGTAAAAGCACAATCTCCCTTCTCATAAGAAAAGGTCAAGAATCAGAGCATCGACCCCCACCCCCACATCGCTATCATGGTGTTCTCACTCTTTTTATTCTTTACAAATTATTATTTTTTCACTCTACTTGGAATCTTTTATTTTTAATTTTCTGATTTTATCAAAGAAAAGTGCACCGTATCATTTTCTCAACGACATCTGAAAACGACATATTTTTTCTTTACTTTCGTGAAACACGTCAATATAATTTGGTTTTTGTTCTTTTTGCCAAATATGTAACAAATTAGATTATTTTACAACATTTCATTACGAGTCTATGACGTTATCTTTTTGTCAATATCTAATAATTTATGAATAAAATTGTTCCTCACAAATAGACCTGGCAATTCCAGACACGAATACACGAATCTGTGAGAGACACGACACGACACAAATACACGACACAAATACATCTTGAAAATTGTTTTAAAACTTATTTGTCATCATGTAATCGTATCGTGTCAAATTCATGGCTGACACGTTTTTATGACACGAATACACGAATTGTCATGTCTACTTACTAACATGGGACCAAATACAATCGCAGGCCATTGGTAATAATAAAGTACAAATATTTATGCAAATGAAGGATAGGACCCACAAGAGGGACACGTCACCCCGACAAAAGCTTAGATACTACATGTACATTTTCTGCAACACTCTATGAATGCATTGTGCTATTGTACACTTGCTTCACCCTCTGAAATCCTTTAATCAATTTCCTCCGCCGTTTCCACCACCATCGCCCGCCGCCTCTTTCTCTACGCCCACGGTGTAGATGGCTCAGTCTCTTTACACTAGTCTTCCAAAATCAACCACCATTTTCACCTCTTCAACCTCCCCTTCATGCACCCTCATCTTCATCCTCACCCTCTGCATTATCTCTCTCTACACACTCCATTACCACAACCAGCAAACACCTCCTCCGTCACCATCCACTACAGCCCAACATCCACCACTTATCTCCACTTTCCTTAACTCTGCCTCTAATTACACCATATCTAACTATCTCCGCCACCTTACCCTCCACCCCCATCTCGCTGGTACCTCACCCTCATCCGCCGCCGCCGATTACGTCAAGACCAACTTCGAATCCCTCCATCTCCAGACCCACGTCACCAACTATTCCGTACTGTTATCGTACCATCTCCATTCATCACTCACTGCCCACTTCAGCAACAGCAGTACCGCCGTCCCACTTCCCTTGACCGAACCGGGGTTAGGTTCTGACTCCGGGGTCGTCAAACCGTACCACGCTTATTCACCATCCGGATCGGCGTACGGGAAGGCGGTGTACGTTCACCATGGGAGGGAGGAGGACTATCGCGCACTGGCGTCGGCTGGCGTGGACGTTAAGGGTTGTGTAGCTGTTGCGAAGAGAGGCGGTGGATGTAGGAATGCGGGAGGTGAAGGTGGGGAGGAATTGGTGTGAGAGAAGAGGCGGGAATGGGGTGTGGCGGTTGGTTGTGTTTACCGGGAAAAATACCGATCGATCAGCAGAACCTATTACGGAGGTGGAGTGGAGAGGGGAACAGTGTTGGATGGTGTCGGCGACCCACTGACACCCGGATGGGGTGCAAGTATTAATGGAGACGTAGAGAGGTTAGGGATGGAGGATGATGAGGTTTTGAAGAGGTTTCCGATGGTGGCTTCAATGCCGATCTCGGCTGAGACGGCGGAGTTGATTTTGGGGTCACTGGAGGGGGCCAGGGTGCCCCATTGGTGGAGGGATGGTGACCTTTTCGGGAATTTTAACAGGGTTGGCCCTGGACCAACTTTCTTGAATTTCACATACCAGGTTAATTTGCTTTTCATTTTCTTGGACCACTTCAATTCTTCTTCTTCTTCTTTCACTTTCAAATAAAATTTGTTGAATGTTGGTTGGTTTTTTCATTTCATCTTATGAATTAGGCAGATTTGGGGTTATATCTTTTTTATATATGAATGCAGTTGAAGTGTTGAACTAAATACTAAATGTCTAATTCGGGTTGAGAAGGCATTTGATTTGAGTTTTCCAAATTTGATTACTAATTCTTATTTCAACTTTTAATCAGGGGGAGAATAAGGTGGCAACAATCCAAAATGTATTTGCTGTGATAAAGGGGTCAGAAGAGGCTGACCGGTTTGTGGTTCTGGGCAACCACAGGGATGCATGGACATATGGAGCGGTTGACCCAAATAGTGGCACTGCTGCCCTTATTGACATTGCCAGACGATATTCTCTAATGATGCGTTTGGGGTGGAACCCTCAAAAGACAATCTATCTTTGTAGTTGGGATGCAGAAGAATTTGGGATGGTAGGTAATATTCGAATTTGATAACTTGATCTTTTGACTCAAGATCATTGGTTTAGATATGTAACTAATAGTAAAAACATTTTATTCAGATTGGATCTACTGAATGGGTTGAGCAAAATCTTGTAAATTTGGGGTCAAAGGCGGTGGCATATATCAATGTGGATTGTGCAGTTCAAGGGCCTGGATTTTTTGCTGCTGCAACACCTCAGCTAGATGATATCCTTGTAGAGGTCACTAAGAAGGTATATGCCTGTCTTAAAGGGTATTTTAGGTATTTTACTAATTGTCAGATAGTTCTGTTCAAGTTAAGTTGAGTTTTTTTTTTTTTTTTTTTAATAAAATAACAGGTTACGGATCCAGATTCATTGGATTCAAAACTCTTTGAGAAATGGAGAACGAGTACTGATGGCCCCTTGGTATGTTCAATGCAACAGCTTCCACATAATTTATGAACCAAATGCAGTTAACAAACGCAACAATCTATTTAATGATATTATTTTTATTTGTTTATGTGGATGTGGATTTGTAGATCCAGAGACTAAGTGATGTATTTTCTGACTTTGCTCCGTTTTTACACCATGCGGGGGTTCCTTCTATTGATTTGTACTATGGCAAAGGTACTACTACTCTTATACCATTTTCCTATGATGCGTTTATGCAACCATGTTTCAGTTTTTCTATAATTAATGCAACAAAATGAACTTCTTGCCGATTTTCAGTACAATTTTTTAATTTGTTACCAATATTTGGATACGGTACACAAATTATACCAATTGCTAATCATTTTTTTGGATCTTATGACCATTTCTAGATTTCCCGGTTTACCACACTGCTTTTGACTCGTATGAGTGGATGGTTAAGTATGGAGATCCCTTTTTTCACCGCCATGTGGCTGGTTAGTTTTTTTTTTATTTGTCTATTTATGTAAAATATTACAATCTTAAATATATCATCATGATGTAATGTAATGTTGTTAATCTTTGGGTTTGTGATCTTAGTTGCTGGGGTTTGGGGGTTGCTTGGAATTCACTTGGCAGATGATCCTATCCTGCCTTTCAACTATCTCTCCTATGCCGCTCAGTTGCAGGTAAGGGAAGCGTTTGATTAGTTTTAAAATGCCAAAAATACCCTTGAGTAAAAATAAAACACATTTTGAGATCTCACGTGATTCATTTGTTGATTTTGCAGAACTACACACATTCATTAAGCAAATTGTTGGAAGGGGATGTCTCTTTGCATCCAATCACATCTGCCATTCAAGAACTTGAGGATGCAGCTAAACAAGTAGAAGAGGAGATGAAGGTTTTTATTCAAAACCCAGTTTTAGTGAAGAATGGTTTCTTGGGTACTTTTAGGCAATTTTGATGTGACAAGAGTTGTTATAATTCAATTCGTTTTGCAGAAATTGAGGGAGGAAGAAAGTGAAGGTCATGTGATAGTTTTGAGGAGGCGCATGTTGAATGATCGTTTGATGTTGGCTGAAAGAGGCTTCTTGGATACAGAGGGGATTCGGGGAAGGCAATGGTTCAAGCATCTCGTAAGCATAAATACATACATACATACATACATACATACATACATATATTATGACATTCAACTAGGCATGTAGCTCACTACAGCATTTTTTTTTTCTACTAATCAAAAGTCTAAATGCGATTTAATCTTTTGACAAACTGTGTGGACCAAAACAGGTTTAATTAGTAACTTGTAATGTTGATGATGTAGTAAATAAGTAAGTTCAGGTATTGGAAGGGAAGTCACTCACTATGTGCAAGTTACATGGTGTAGGTATATGGACCTGCTAGTGAGAGTAAGCTGGGATTCTTTCCAGGAGTTGCAGATGCAATGTATGGGTCAAGTACAAGTACAAGTAGAGGAGTGAAAGAGGAGGAGGCAAAAAAGAAGCAGGGGATGATCCAACATGAAATCTGGAGGGTTGCTAGGGCCATTCAAAGAGCTGCAAGTGCTTTGAAAGGTGAACTAACCTGATATAACACTTACACTTGGGAGAGTAATCACTAATCACTAATGAGGAGCTTGTATATATGCTTACTTAATTATATATAGTCCATGTCTCTAACATGAGAGTTTAGATGTTTTTGATGCTTCATCATCCCATACCCCCCACATCAGATATGTCATATGTATAGCCAATGTTAACAATAATAGGCAGTATTGTTTTTTAAACTATGCTGCCAACATAATAGAAATAACCGGGATTTTGCTTATTTAAAACATTTTTCTTTGTGAAGATGGTTTATGCAGTGGCAAAACGCAATTTTCAAAAGAAAATGTTTGGATTAGCTTATGTGGGTACCAAAATGCAATGAGTTTATAAGTTGTTTTTTAGTGTTATGTAAATTTTGCTTATACATGTAAAATGACTAAATAGTTAAATACCATTATGTTCAACTTTCTTGAAATCTATACCCATCTTTTAGGCTTAATTTGAGGGATTGAAAGGGTACCTATGACTACATGAAACAACTGAGACTGTATGGTGTGATAGTGTTTTTACCACCGACAATCCTAGGTGGCAGCTTTTAAATACTGCCCTAGATAATCCTAGGTGGCAGCTTTTAAATACTGCCCTATGATGTGTTTTTTGCTAGCAGTATTTAACCAATGGTAACTTTTCACTGATGACAAAAATGTTGTTCTCTCTCTCTCTCTCTATAGATATATATATATATAATATATATATATATATTATATTATATATATATATATATATATATCAACACCACTTTTTTAAAAATGGTAAAAGAAAAAAAAAAGGCAAAAGTGTCGACATCATTAAGTTGGATGTGTGGTTTAGGCTTATTCAAAAAAGCTTTTCGGTGATATCAAACGACGTTAAGCATAAAAGGGCAATCCATAGTACTTATTAGTGGGCACCAAACCACATTAAGCAAAAAAAAAACTTTAAATAAGAATCCCAAACACCCATTCTTAATTTTGGAGAACTACGCCACGCTTTTTTCTAGTTCCTTGTTGCCTTTGTTAGAATCTAGTTGGTGCAAAAGCTGTGGATTTGACTACAAATCCGCATCCACAAGATTGTTGTTTCAAGGTTTTTAAACATAGATTACAGATTACTCCCATTGATCTTAAAAGAACGAACATCCAATTATTGGTTGAACATGTATAATTAGGAATAGAAGTAGGAATCTATGAAACAATTAAATTTAGTATCATTTAAAAAGAAGGGAAGTTAACATCACCCTCCAGTTTCAAGTCCTTATTTACAGCCTGCAACTTATTTCAGTTAGCTCTGTTTTGTTACCTTTTATTAATATGTCTGCATGAGCATGTTAACATGTATAATTAGGAATAGAACTTCGATTCTTTTATGCTCACATACCTTCACGAACTAATGTATCTGTCAAGAATTACATCTAAACTGACAGCAGCAGTAAATACTAACATTTTACACAAAATTCATGTAACATAACCGTTTTACAGGTCCCCCCATCCAGCAAACAAATACTATTTTATTGATTAATTGCTTTGCGTTTCCCTTGCAGTTGTATATTTTCACTGGCTTCTCAAATGTGTGACCATTCTGCACCAGATTTTAATCCAACATAGCAAGCGCATTAGATGTCACCATCAACAAAAGCCAAGAAAGATGATAAAACGGATTTCATTAAAATAAAAAGCCAAACAGCAAATCATTTGATTTGATAAAAACTAAATTTAAGGAGAAAACGGATAAACCTGATTTTCTATAAAGGAGGGCCTTTTATGGGGCCGAGTGTTCCAAACCAAGGTATTGCTCCCAGACCTCATATATATCTCTTCACTATAAACCAGGTTCAAAAAATATGAGCATAAATAAATAAATAATAGTAACGAGAGGAATGATAAAGTTTAACTGCAAACCTGAAAACAGGTAGATACAGCATCTGAATCTTGTAGATACTCAGGACACCCCATGAATACAAATGCAAACTTCCACTGATAATGTGGAAAAGTTGCCTCCAAAATTAGCAAGTGGCAAATAGTTCAGGGGTTATTTCCGTAACTTATCATTTACTATACTAGTTTGACTATGAATAGTAATATATAAGAAATGTGTAAATAATAATGACGGAGACTTGACTAATATATGAATTAGAAAGAGGGAGGCGCAACAATTGTGGTCATAAATGGAGGCGCCTCACATTGCCAACTTTTGACCTTAATAAATAGTACATATATCTATTGGTTTCTAATTTGGAGGCGCAAAGGCGTGGGACAGGCATTGTAGGGCAATTCGTGGGGATTCCTTGGCTGAGTAAATACCAACCCAGGTCATTACAACAGAACTTACGAACCAATCAAATCTATAGAATATATATATATATATATAGATATAGATATATATGTAATGCTTTGCATTACATATATATATATATATATATATATATATATATATATATATATATATATATATATATATATTGATACACCACCGTATATTTTAGCTCTCCCACTCTATTTGTAATCTCTTTCATAATCCCTGTAAACACTGCAAATTATAGTGAATTGTTTCTCGGCTTCCTCCGCCCGTGGTTTTTTTCCCGATTTGGGTTTCCACGTAAATTCATGTGTCTCTATTCTATTTATTTTATTCGTATTTCGTTGTGATTATTACGCTTTGATAATTTTTGATCCCATTCCGCATTGAGCTAATATTATTTAAGTCAATTTGGATCCGTCGTATTTTACAACAATTGGTATCAGAGCATCCAGGTTGTGATATTAGCTCGTTGGGATCATTTTATCAAGTAATTAATCATGTCTTCGGTAAAATACGATATTCCACTACTGGATCGTAACACCCGATTTCCGTTGTTGGCAAGTAAAGATGAGAGACATTCTCATTCAGATGGATTTACACAAGGCGCTCTTGGGTTTCAATATGATGCCCGATACATGGACCGAAGAAGAAAAGGAGATGAAAGATCTGAAGGCTTTATCCCAGATTCGTTTGCACTTGTCAAACGATGTTTTGCAAGATGTTCTAAAAGAAACGTCAGCGGCTTCTTTATGGCTAAAGTTGGAGCAACTGTTGATGACCAAACAAGTTGCATTTGAAGCAACGGTTGTTCAATCTCAAGATGATTGAAGGAGGCTCTTTAGCTGAACATATATCCACATTTAAAGAGTTAGTAAATAACTTAGAGAATATGGATGTTCAGTATGAAGATGAAGACTTGGCTCTATTCTTACTATCGTCGTTGCCAGAATCCTATAGCCATTTTCGTGATACTATTATCTATAGCCGTGACACTCTAGTTTTAGATGAAGTCTATACAGCTTTGGATTCCAAAGAGAAGATGAAGCATATTACTGGTGGTGGTTCAAGTGATGCTAAAGCCGAAGGTTTGAATGCCAGAGGAAGAACAACAGAGAGAAGTAGAACTTCTCAATCTTCCAACAGAACCAGATCCAAGTCAAAAGGCAAACGAAAGTTTTGCAACTATTGTCACAAGAAGGGACATGTGCTTGAAGAATGCTTCAAGTTGAAGAACAAAGAAAAAGAGAAGACGGCAGCAAATGGTAAACAAGCTAGCACTTCGGGTGAAGCCGATCTAGCTGAGGTCGAAGGTATTGGAAGAACTTTTGACAGTTTATTCAGATAAACTGGATTCCACTGGTGATTGGATACTCGACTCTGGTTGTACTTTTCATATGTGTCACAACAAAAGTTGGTTTTACACATTTGAAAAGGTTAACCAGGGCTATGTGTTGATGGGTAACAATACTACATGTCCAGTTCTTGGACATGGTTCAGTCAGGATCCGTATGTTTGACGGAGTTATTCGAACCATGGGGGATGTTAGATATGTTCCTGACCTCAGAAGAAACTTGTTATCTCTCAGTTCCTTTGACAAAAAGGGATACGAGTTTGCTGGTAAAGGTGGAGTTCTCAGGGTATTCAAAGACGGTTCCGACAAACTGAGAGCCGAACGAAAAACCTCAGATCTTTACTTTCTTGACGGGCAAACAATTTCGAGTGATGCTGCTGTTGTTTCAAAGTCTCTTTCTGATCCAGATCAGTCCCGTCTTTGGCACCTTCGACTCGGCCATATGAGTTTTCAAGGCATGTCAGAATTGAGTCGAAGAGGTTTACTTGGTCAACAAAAGATTGTTGATTTGGATTTCTGTGAAGACTGTGTATATGGCAAGGCAAAACGAGTAAGGTTTGCAAGTGGTATCCATACAACGAAAGGACCACTTGATTATGTTCACTCGGATTTGTGGGGACCGGCTCGAGTTGCTTCAAAAGGTGGAGCTATTTATATGATCACTATTATTGATGATTTCTCCAGGAAGGTGTGGTCTTTCTTCTTAAAACATAAAGGAGACGTTTTCTCTACCTTCAGAAATTGGAAAGTTCAAGTTGAAAAGCAATCAGGTCTGGTGTTAAAGTATCTTCGTACGGATAATGGACTTGAGTTTTGCTCAGAAGAGTTTAATGTCTATTGTCAAAAGGAAGGCATTACTCGACATCGCACAGTAGTCCATTCACCTCAACAAAATGGTGTAGCTGAAAGGATGAATCGCACCATTATGGAGAAGGTCCGGTGTATGCTTTCTAATTCCAAATTGCCAAAGTCTTTTTGGGCGGAGGCTGCTTCGACTGCTTGCTATGTTATCAACCGATCACCGTCACGAGCAATCGAGAAGAAAACTCCGTTTGAGTTATGGTCCGGTAAACCTGCCAATTATTCAGATTTAAAACCATTCGGATGTCCAGCATATGCACGAGTTGACAATGGGAAGCTAGAACCAAGAGCAATCAAATGCGTTTTTCTTGGGTACAATCAAGGTGTAAAGGGTTACAAGTTATGGAGCTTTGATTTGAAGAAAATTATCATCTCAAGAGATGTTACTTTTGATGAGTCTGCTATAATTCAACCAGTTGCTGACTCTTCTAAAAGAACAGATGCATCAGATGTATCATCCGAAGCAAATAAAGAGAATGCTCAAATGGAGGTGGAGCTTCCTACTTCACCTACCACTAATCAGAGTACAAATCAGCATCAAGATTCTTCTTCGTCGGATGAGCATGTTGTTGGTGAAGATTCAACACCTTCACAACCACAAGCTACTACTCCAAGCATTGCAAGAGATAGACCGAGAAGACAGATTATTCCTCCGAAGAGGTATGCTGAATCTGATTTGGTTGCCTATGCTTTTATTGTTGCTGATAATATTGAGTCCGCAACGGAGCCTACGAATTATGACGAGGCTATCGAATCTGAAGACTCAAATGATTGGATGCTCGCTATGCAAAATGAGATGGAATCTTTGCAGCGAAACAGTACTTGGAATTTAGTTCCTATTCCGAAAGGGAAGAGACCAGTTAAATGCAATGGGTCTACAAGATCAAGGAACCTGTCAACCCAAATGATAAACCAAGATACAAAGCTCGGTTAGTAGCTAAAGGCTACAGTCAGATTCCTGGTATTGATTACACTGACATTTATTCCCCAGTTGTCAAACATACTTCCATTCGTGTATTGTTGGGGTTGGTTGCTTCTAACGATTTTGAGTTAGAACAACTTGATGTCACTACAGCTTTCCTAAATGGTGAGCTTGAGGAAGAGATTTTTATGCAACAACCTGAAGGTTTTGCAGTTCCTGGAAAGGAGAACTACGTATGCAAATTGAACAAATCTCTTTATGGCCTCAAGCAGTCTCCTAGACAATGGTACAAGAGGTTCGATTCTTTCATGACCAGTCACAAATTCAGCAGGTGCACCTATGATAGTTGCGTTTATTTCAAGAAAGGTGACAATGGTTCAAAGATCTACTTACTCTTGTACGTGGATGACATGTTGATTGCAGCAAAAGATATGAAGGAGATTCAGAAGTTAAAAGACCAGTTGAAAGCTGAATTTGAAATGAAGGACTTAGGAGCTGCCAAAATAGATTTTAGGTATGAAATTATTCGTGACAGGAAGTCTAGGATCTTGCATCTTTTCTCAGAAAAGTTATATTGAGAAAGTCCTAAGACGCTTCAGTATGCACGAAGCAAAGTCTGTCAACACACCTTTTGCAGCTCATTTCAAGCTATCATCCGCTTTGAGTCCTACTAATGAGACTGATATGGCTTACATGGCACGTGTTCCATACTCTAGTGCTGTTGGATCTTTGATGTATGCTATGATCTGCACGCGCCCTGATTTGGCTTATGCTGTTAGCATGGTTAGTAGATACATGGCGAACCCGGGGAAAGAACACTGGAAAGCAGTACAGTGGATTTTTCGTTATTTACGTGTACGTCTTCTATGTGTTTACGTTTTGGTAAATCTAACACTGGGGTGTTCGGATATGTTGATTCAGATTATGGCAAAGATTTGGATAAACGAAGATCAATTACAGGGTATGTGTTTACTCTAAATGGTTGTGCTGTTAGTTGGAAAGCCCAGTTACAGTCTACAGTTGCCTATCTTCTACCGAGGCAGAGTACATGGCGATTACAGAAGCAGTTAAGGAAGATATCTGGTTGAAGGGGTTATTTGGAGAACTCGATGATAGAATAAAGGTGACCACAGTTTCTGTGACAACCAGAGTGCTATCTTCTTGAGTAAAGATCAAATGTTTCATGACCGAACAAAGCATATTGATATTCGTTATCATTTTGTGCGGGATATCATTGAAAAAGGTGATTGTGTTGTGGACAAGATTCATACAGATTATAATCCCGCTGATATGTTCACTAAAAGTCTTCCTATAGCCAAGTTCAAATTATGTTTGGACATGGGGGTGTTTCTGATCGCAGTTGAGCCTGAAGGCTCGTAGGTGGAGGAAGTATTATTTATTTTTCGGAAACAATTTTTCTCTATATAAAATTGCAGGTTCTTATGGAAGTTTTAGAGTTTGATGAGCTATAGGTTTTGACTAATCGTAAAGCATGACTTGCTTAATTTTGATGTCAAGGTGGAGATTATGGAAAAGTTGCCTCCAAAATTAGCAAGTGGCAAATAGTTCAGGGGTTATTTCCGTAACTTATCATTTACTATACATAGTTTGACTATGAATAGTAATATATAAGAAATGTGAAATAATAATGGACGGAGACTTTGACTAATATATATGAATTAGAAGATGGAGGCGCAACAATTTTGGTCATAATGGAGGCGCCTCACATTGCCAACCTTTTGACCATAAATAGTAATATATATCTATTTGTTATTCTAATTTGGTAGGCGCAAATTCTTTGGACGGCATATGTAGTTCAATTCGTTTGGTATTCCTTTGGCTATAAATAGCCTAACCCATTTCATTACAACTAACCCACGAACCAAATCAAATATATATATATATATATATATATATATATATATATATATATATATTATATATATATATATGATACACCACCGTATATTTTAGCTCTCCCACTCTATTTGTAATCTCTTTCATAATCCCTGTAAACACTGCAAATTATAGTGAATTGTTTCTCGGCTTCCTCCGCCCGTGGTTTTTTTCCCGATTTGGGTTTCCACGTAAATTCCTGTGTCTCTATTCTATTTATTTTATTCGTATTTCGTTGTGATTATTACGCTTTGATAATTTTTTTGATCCCATTCCGCATTGAGCTTTAATTATTTTAAGTTCAATCTTTGGATCCGTCGTATTTTACAACAGATAAATACAAGGGAAAATGGTAGGCCCAACTCCAGATCAGATGGATGACGTGTCATTACGGCTTTAAAGTTTAAAGAAAGCATCACACAGACACAATAAACCAAATTAATACTTAGGAAAACAAGTACCTTGGAAAATTCATCATCATGAACCTCTAACTTCCTCCGAATGCGGACTTTAACAGACGCTAAAGTTTCATTTTCACGAATTATAAAAAAGAAAGGCTCCCCAAAGTTTTGCACTTGCTGTCAATTTTATTAAAAGATAAACCCATAAATTCATAGTTCAATAGAGCATGACATGTATGTATGTATGTATGTACCATCTGGTTGTCTTTGGTGAAATGGTAAACATGAATCAACTGATCCTGGGCTCCCAGGTTCTTCTCTTCTTTAGGAATCTTAGGAAGGTTACAACAAAACAAACAGACATAAACTATTAACACTTTCTTTCTGATTATTCACCGATTCATAAAAAATTATTAAGAAATGAAAGCTACAACTTACTTCCTCTGCACGTAATGTCCAGTAGTGATCAGTTATATTCTCAATTTTCTGAGTTACTGGAAAGATCTGTGCAAGCCAAGGACAAGAAAACCATATCAGATAAGAATGTGCGTACCACAAACAAACAAAGGATTCTAATTATATTATTTCAAGCAATCTAAGTTCAGCATCCGGGTGAGATAGAGATAATTCAACCTGTTTGTTTCAACATACATGCATTTTGCATAAATAATTTATAAACAAAAACACAGCCTGCAGCAAAGCAATTTGATTTCAGTCACCAACACATCTACTAATCAGATAATCTATATATGCAAAGTATTATAGTATTTATTTATACCACCTTTGTCTTAATTTCATTTAGAACATCTCCAACAGTACTCTGCTTAGGCAGCCTAATATTGTGAATGACAGGCTGCAACCACAACACACTTAATTTTAGAGAGAAAGTTGTAACCCTTTCCTTGCACAGGAAAAAAGCAACCAATTAACACATATTTTCAAACACACGTAACGTACCTCTTCTTTGGTAGAATGGTGAAAGCTAATCTTCAAGGTTTTCAGACATTGTATTTTTAACTCCTGACGTTTTTTGACATATTCCAGAAATGAAGGAACGTCAGGGTATCGGTATTTATCCATATCCTGAGCATGAGATGGTTTCTGAAAGCAAATAATGTCTCCATCCTCGATCTAAAAAGATATATAAGGGCTTAATTTGTTCAGATTTAAACACCACTCACAGTCACATATAGGTAAAGCATAAACAACTTTTTGATGATAAAAAGCTGAATATACCTCGCTATATCTAAATGACTTTTCTATGTCAAGACGTTCACACATGACACATGGCTCAGATCTTATTTCCTGGTCAATCATAGATACCACATAACTATGAAATCACAACTAGTACTCGAACTGGAAGTTTACAACATGATAATATATATATATATATATATATATATATATATATATATATATAATAAAACATACCTCATAGAGTTCAATTTCTTCATCTGGACTAAATCCAGCTCTCTCATTTAATTTTGATATTATTTCAGTCGGTTTACCACAACTCTTCACAAAAAACCTACCAACGTATCTGGAAAAAAAGGGATATATACAAAGGATAGCCGCTCAAGAACCAAATTGGCCCATTAAGAAGTGAAGACAGAAGACTTAATTAACATGTTGCAAGTACCTGAGTTCTTCCTTCTCAGGATCATAAAGCTTGACAAAAACAAGTATATCTTGTTTGCTTTTGTCAGGTGGTGGAAGATAATACAAATCCTGAAAACACAACACGTAACTTTAGTTAGTAGTTACTACAACTACAGAACAAAAGGTAATGGGAGGGTGAATTAGTTAACCGGCAGGACAAGACAATATTAATTACCGGTCCAGTCTCTATCTCCAGGAACAATTTCAGTTCAGCATTGTGATTCTTTTTGGAAACCTACACTTCCACATGGCTGCTTTTCATTGAAGAAAATAACTTATACTTTAAAGTGAGAATGCAAGTAAGTAAAAGCCACGTCAGCATACCGATTGTGTCTCCTCCTGTGCTGTTAAAGGGCGATTGGCACGGTATGTGTCGTTTTGTCTCTTTGCCCATATCCAGAACCGTTGAAATTGAACAGGCACACCAAATTCTTTGGCAACCTCTTCCTGCACACCATAAGAATATGTATAACATGTATTGAACATGATCTACATGTCATCAAAACTAGATAAAAAAAATTTTAAAAAATACCTTGAAAAGTTTAAATGGCGTTTGCTTCTTTATATAAAAGCTACAGACTTTGTTATGGTCGACGAGATCAAAATATATATCCTTCCCAATCTGTTCTAACATGTCTTCATCACGCGCAACCTACAGTACATCATGTCAATTGATGATATTAGTGAGAAAGAAATAAACAAGGATCCAATTAGGAACGTGAGATCATATAATATCTACTATGCACCTTGATAATAGTATACAGATGAGGCTGTGCCTTATATCTTCTCTTGACTTCCCTCTCTTCTTCTTCTTTCTTCAACCTTATCTGGAAAAGGATAGTTACAAATTACCTTCTCTTTCAACCCCACAAGGTAGTCAAGAAAGTTCAAAACTAATACTCGCATGAGAAAAACATACCTCATTAAGTTCATTGTCTTTGTTCTTTGCCAAAACTTTTTGGGGAATACAACTGCTATCCGTATGCGTTTGGTCAAACACCTTGCAAAAAAAAGAGTTACCTGGTTTCCAACTGTACTCAACCCGAAGAGTGGACAATGAGTATCCATTGCCATAAGGGATAGAAACAGAAATCTCATCAACCCAATTTCCAGTTGCCTCAAAATCAACCAGAATTCTAGCATATCCAGCTCTACCAGAGGCCTTCATACACATCCTTGCTGTACAAGTATCAACCGCCAAAGGATTACCAAGCATACTAGCAATAATATTCAACCCTTCCTTGTTCCATAACTCAAGAGAAATGTCATAGATTCTAATCCAAACAGGGAGTTTGAGTTTATCATGTTTAGACTTATCAAGAACTAAACCTGGAGTCCACCTCTTGAAAAAAATAGGGATGTTATTAATGGTCCATGGTCCATTTTCTAGAGCTAATAACATTCCTTCATCAGTCTTGAATTTGAAAAAATAGAAACCCTTATGGTTCTCCATGACATCTTCAATGCCATGTGTTTTCCACATGTTACAAATATGGTATTCAACCAAGGAAAAATCGATCTCCTTTTCTTCAATGAAATATCCATAAAGGGTACGAGAATATGGAAGACTCCCCCTATTGACTACATCCGCAGGTATTATCACAGAACCATTCACATTATTAATAACAGGTTTCACATATTCAAGCTGTAAATCATTGCAGCTTAGGTTTATATCAGAACCGTGACAGGGCAAGACCATCGTATTCTTGGACAGCAAATCGTCACCAACAGCCCCATCATGAAACATTTTCCTCAATTTCGCCCTACTATGAAACGCAGAAGATGAACAATCACCTCCACCCACATCTAAATCCCCCATATTACAAGCTTTCCGGCTATCAAGACTATCTTTATCACCTTCACCAGTTCTAATGGCATTCAAAGCTGCGGTACCACCATCCCCAAGACCATTGTGGTGGGGCAATGACGGTGCTGCTGGCGGCAGAAAATTTCGCGGCCTCTTTTTGCCAAACAGGGGCACCTTCTTCCATATTTCTACGATTTGAACGATTTTCCGAACCACCCATGATGAAAAGAAACAAAAAGCACGAGAAACCCTAAAAACACCAAGATTCTAGAAAGAAAACCCCTTAAAACACCCTTTTTGTGCTGCATGTAAAGAAAGTTATGGGTCGCTAATCGCTACAAAAAAAAACCCTTGTACATTTACTTATGTAATATGTAATGTAATGTGATATTTGCTGGTATTTTCATCTCCAGGCCTAGTGGAATTGTTTTAAATGTAACTTTTGTTTTTGTTTAATCATTAATTACATTCCTTCTTTTTGATATATTTCCAAAGTTGCTGCATGCACTGATCCTCTAGCTTGAGCGTGCCATGCATGTTTCATCGGCCATTTGTACATGCACCAATAAGAGAATACTACTATTAATTTATGCTAATATTCATTTCTACTTAAAATATTGAATATATTGAATGCAAGATAGAAAAATATTGTTTGAACCTTTTGGATTGGAGCAAGTTTTTGAAAGTATTTAATAGTTTCTGCCTTTCTGGCTTATAGTTTTAAGAAAAAAAATCTTATAAACAAAAAGGCATTTTTATACAATTTAAAACTTACTTTTTGTTGTGGATATGTTCTTTGGATATTTCCATTATATATATATATATATATATATATATATATATATATATATATATATATATATATATATATATATATACAAAAAAAAGTTGCATATCAAGAAATTAAGAATTTCACAAATTGGATATATGTTGGTGATTTTAGTGTAGTTAGTGTTACTATCGAGACAGTTTGAGTTCAGTTTATCATCCGAAACTGGAGGTGCGGAGTGTACAATTGGATTGATAAATGTGGACTCGGGAATACGGATGTCCTGGGGGCAGTGCCCATAGGGAAGGGGTTCGAAAGGGCAATGCCCCTAACGGGGTTCAAGGGGCAGAGTTCCTGGCTGGGGTTCCGCTCTAAACCCTTTTTATTGCCTCATTATAAGTTGGCGCCGTTGTTACCCTTATAACTGCCATCAACCGCCATCTTCCATATATTTAAGGAAGATTGGTGTTGTAGACAACGTATAGATAAACGAAATATTGCATCGTTACATTGCAGAATTTTTTCTCTGAAATACACAAATCTCAACAAGGTATTTTGGTTTTCTAATTCTGATTAGGCCTATAATCAAAATTGAAGTTTTTGGATTATCTTACTTCTGAATTCATGTAACGCCAGACAATAGGGACGAATTACATATTTCGGGAAGTGAGACAATCACGATCTTTAAAATATTCAAGTTTATTGTTATTCGAAATGCATAAATTCTAACACAAAATTCTCTAAATTTTTTTTGGCATTTTTACATGTTAAAATTACAATATAAACCTCTTTTTTGTTGTGTAAATGGTCTTCCAAAATTTTTACCATTTTCCTATGATGCATTTGGCGTTGTTTTAAGCGTTAAACGCATACTTATGCAACCATGTTTCACTTTTTTTTTATAATTAATGCAACAAAATGAACTTGTGGCCGATTTTTGGAACATTTTTTTAATTTGTTACCAATATTTGGATATGGTGCACAAGTCCAAGCAAACCATTTCTAGATTTCCCGGTTTACCACACTGCTTTTGACTCGTATGAGTGGATGGTTAAGTATGGAGATCCGTTCTTTCACCGCCACATGGCTGGTTAGCTTTTTTTTACGGTCTATTTATGAAAAATATTAGAATCCTAAATATATCATCATGATGTAATGTAATGTAATGTTGTAAATCTTTCTGTTTGTGATCTAAGTTGCTGGGGTTTGGGGCTGCTTGGACTTCACTTGGCAGATGATCCTATCCTACCTTTCAACTATCTTTCCTATGCCGCTCAGTTGCAGGTAACGGAAGCGTTTCACTAGTTGTAAAATGCCGAAAATACCCTTCATCAGTAAAAATAACACAAATTTTGAGATCTCACATTCTTCTTTTCTTGATTCCGCAGAACTACACACATTCATTAAGCAAATTGTTGGAAGGGGGTGTCTCATTGCATCCTATGACATCTGTCATTCAAGAACTTGAGGATGCAGCTAAACAAGTAGAAGATGAGGTGAAGGTTCTTTCCAGGAGTTGCAGATGCAATGTATGGGTCAAGTACAAGTACAAGTAGAGGAGTGAAAGAGGAGGAGGCAAAAAAGAAGCAGGGGATGATCCAACATGAAATCTGGAGGGTTGCTAGGGCCATTCAAAGAGCTGCAAGTGCTTTGAAAGGTGAACTAACCTGATATAACACTTACACTTGGGAGAGTAATCACTAATCACTAATGAGGAGCTTGTATATATGCTTACTTAATTATATATAGTCCATGTCTCTAACATGAGAGTTTAGATGTTTTTGATGCTTCATCATCCCATACCCCCCACATCAGATATGTCATATGTATAGCCAATGTTAACAATAATAGGCAGTATTGTTTTTTAAACTATGCTGCCAACATAATAGAAATAACCGGGATTTTGCTTATTTAGAAAAGTTTATGTTTTTCTTTGTGAATGTGCTTATTTAGAAAATGGCTAATCTCATTTGCCACTTTCTAAGAAATAGTAAAAAGTTAGTCAAACATCCAAAATAATCATTGATTTCGCAGATTAAATCAGCCAAATCAATAAATAGGCTGCATCTATCTTTAATTTTACATCATTTTTTGGGTGAAAAATCTCACAAAAAAAAAACTCAAATTTCACACCAGTTGAAACTTTTTTTGCTCAGAAAATGTTCTTTGAAGATTTTAAACTAGTGATTTTAAAAAAATGCATATCAAATCCGAGACATTAAGGTTGCGTTTAGTTACGGAAAAACAGTTTTCATTTTCTGTTTTTCGTTTTCCCTTTTCATATTTCGTTTTCCGTTTCCGGTTTTCATTGGAAAATTTAGAAAACGCGTTTAGTTAAAACTTATTCATTTTTCATTTTCAGTTTTAGAAAATTAGAAAACGTGTTTAGATGTGTATTTTTCTATTGGTTTTCATTTTTAGAAAACAGTTGCGGTGGTAGGGTGGGGGTGGGGGCGGCGGTGGTAGCGGGTCGGCGGCGGTGGTGGTGGCGGCAATCGTGGTAGTGGTGGTGATGGCGGTGGTGGTGGTGCTGATGTGGTAGGGGTAGTGGTGATGGTGATGGTGATGGTGATGGTAGGTCGGTGATTGTGGTAGTGGTGTTGGGTGGGCAGGTGTGTCTGTGTGTGTTTGTGGGTGTGTGTGTGTGTGTGTTTGTGGGGGTGGGGGTGAGTGTGTGGGTGGGTGTAGGTGTGGGTGTGTGTGTGTGCGTGTGTTTTTGGGGATGGGGGTGGGTTTGTGTGTGTGTGTGTTTGTGGGGGATTGGGTGGGAGTGGGGATGGGTGTGTGTGTGTGTGTGTTTGGGGGTAGGGGGTAGGGGGTGGGTGTTTGTTTATGTGTGTGTGTGTGTGTGTCTATTTGTGAGGGTGGGGGTGGCTTTGTGTTTGGTTGTGTGTGGGTGTTTTGTGGGTATGGGTGTGGGTGTTGGTGGGGGGGGGGGGGGGGGGGGGGGGGGGGGGTTGGGGTAGGTGTGTGTTTGTGTGTGTGTTTGTAGGGGTGGGTTTGGGAGTGGGTGAGTGTGAGTAGGTAGGGGTGTGGTGGGTTGGAGGTGTAGAGATGGGGGTAGGTAGAGATAGGAGTGAGGGTGTGTTTATATTTTAGAAAAAATTTGGAATTAGAAAAATGTGGAAAACAATAATTATTGTTTTTCTAAAAGTTTCCAACTTCTTTGTAATTTTAGAAAACGGAAAATTTTCATTTTCCGTGAAAAATTTAGAAAAATAGACGAACTAAACGCGTTTTCAAAATTCTCATTTTTCTTGGAAAATTTTTCCGGAAAACGGCCAATTTTTCCGCAACTAAACGCACCCTAAGAATTCGGCATACCAGATCGGTATATGCGGAAATTTTTCTCCTTACAAAAATTGAAAGATTGATATTTTCCACAACTAGCATATGTGTTCTAAGAATGGAAAAATCAAGTTTTTAAGGATATTTACGAAAATGACCACATCCCTAAAGTAGATATACCAATCTGACCACCATTACAGTAATTTGCCTAAAAGACCACCATATTCAAATTTTGGTTAGGTTTGAACGTCGCTATAAGTTTAAACTCAATTATCGTGGTCTCTTATATTTAAAATGTTCATTTTTCATAAATGCTCATCAATTCCGAAACTCGTATGTCTGATGCTCTCCATTCGTAGTTGGAAACTAAGTTGTGTTGATACATTACTACAAAAGAGGTTTCTGACGGGCATAAAAGTTGTTTATCCGTGGAAAGTGTCTTTTACCAACAGATTCTGATGGAAACAAATCTGTCCGCAAAAATGCATGATAATTTTTCCTAAGAGTTTAGCGACAAAATTTCATATCTTAGTGATAGATTTGCAACATATATTTTATTTTAGGGGAAAGTTTTATTATATTTATCTTTGGGTGGCTCATATTTCAATTAGAGTTTTTAGGTTTTAGTAAATGTCTAAAATCCGTTTTATAGCTAGGTACAAGATGACTAAAGGATCTTTGTTGGATAAAACCAATCCTATATTCTCAGCATCTTGTAACACCGTTGGATCCAACATGAAATTGGAGGGTTGCTACTTGCTAGTGCTAGGTAGGGCCATCCAAAGGGCTCCTGCAACTGCTTTGAAGCTTGAAAAGTGAACCAACATAGCCGGTGGGAACTGTCAGTGTCCCTGACGCTTCATCCACACATCAAAACACGCATAGTCAATGTTAGCGCCAGCAGCCAGGATATAGAAATAACCATAGTTCCAATTTGACTTGTGTAGTGGTTCAAACAACCATGAATCAGCAGGACCCTCCAGCATTTCTCAAGAACTAGCATGAGCCGCTTTTCTATAGTTGTTATAGAAGTGATGATTTTATGAATTTAATTGGTCTGACCATGAACCAACATCCAACACTCCGTTCCACAACTATGATAAAAAAATAAAATAAATAATTATTCTCTTGAATTTAAAAAAATGTTTAACCATTTAGAAACACCAGTCTTGACTGTGAGCAACTTATTCCAGTTTTGTTTCGTAATTTTGTTGCTTGATATTATGTATATAATACATGGCAAGAACTAAAGTGTAAAGTGTAAGGAGGTAGCTATATCTGTAAAGTGCAAGCAGTATCAGTAGAATTGTAACTTTTTACAAAATTCATGTAGCATATCAGCAACCATTTTACATCCAACATACAAAAAGAAAAAAAGACTATTTTAGGCAGGCAGGCAGGGAGGCAGTTTGCTTATACACTCGATCGCTCTTGCTCATTCAACAAAATCTTCCTATGTACTACTTACTAAATTACACATGACATATCTCAACAAGACAAGA